ACTGTAAAGAAGATGAAGACCCGATCTCTGAGACAGTAGGTTTATTAGTCTGAGCTTTCGGTCTCGTACAGGAGGCCATAGTCAGAGATTGTGAAAATGCGACATCAAATGAGCGGTTTTTGTAGTCCAGCCACGAAGGGGTAGGGAGATATGAGTGCAGAGGGTGGTACTCGCGATAAGTTGAGTCCTACGCCGTCTCACGGTGGCGTGACTGCCTGACCACCTCTTGCATCCCCCCTCCCTCGCCCTTGGTGGCTTGACGGCAAAAACCGCTCATTGTCGCATTCTCACAGTCTCTGTCGATGGCCTCCTGTAGGAGACCGAAAGCTCAGACTAATAAACCTACTGTCCCAGAGATCGGGTCATCATCTTCTTTACAACAAAAACCTGGGATTCGCATATTCGCATACATCCGTGAAATTCGGTTTTGCTGTCAACGCTTACATCTCCACTTGACCAGCACCGAGGGCGTGCAGAATAAGTCGTATGAAGACCCGCACGCTCTCCTTATGACTGCCTCGAAGGCGAACAGAATGACTGTCCTTGGTGACGTCAGTGCTCGCGTCGGCAGAAACCACGCCGCCTGGAAGGGAGGGGTAAGTCACCATGGGATCGGCGGGTGCAAAAGAAATGGCCTTAGTGGAACACAATATTCTGTTGACTAACACTGCGGACGGATCTTATTTTAACACCTGCATTTACTCCAAACTGGAAAAAATACAAATTTGGAGGCGCATAGTCATGTCAAACACCAGTGAAAAGAACTGCGGGATACCACCCAGGCCACCGCGACTGAAACCCTCAATCGTACGCGCCGCCAGCCCAATGGTTGGTTTGATGCCAGTGACGGAAGAATTCGCAGTCTGCTTTCCAGGAAACACGGAATACACAGGACCTACACCTCCAACAGCAGCAGCAGCAGCAGCAGTACGAAACCGACTACATTCCATGCTGAGAGCCAGTACAGCGTAGGCTGAGCGGGATGCAGAACGACTGGTTGACTGGCAGAGCCGAGAAGATCAATGCGCAGGTCGACCGTGATGGGACGAAGGCTGTCTTGGCGACCGTCAAACAGTCTACGGCCCACAGGTCAAGATGACCTTAGCCACAGATGAGTAAGGATAAAGTAATTCACCTGACGGAGAAGTCACAATCCCCGAAGCGCTGGGCTAGACACTTCCAGGGCGACTTAAAGCACTCTTTGACAATATGTGAAGAAGCTCGTAACCGTCTTCCTGCAGTGGGCACCAACGACGATCGTCCGCCCTCTTTCTTTGAGGCAGTCAAGGTCTACAACAGCTGTCCAGGGAAAAGCACTGGTATCAAATGCAATAGCAGCCGGCTCACAGCTCATGGAAAAGCTTACTTCGGTATCCATGGAATGGTGGTGAAGAGGACACATTCCGAAGACTTCAAGGATGTCCCCATCGCGTACGTCTTGGAACGCAATGCTAAGTGGTGGCTCAGCGATAACCAAAGATGCGCCTCTTATCTTAGCACTTCCCCTGTCCTACTCCCTAACCTGCCCATGCATCTGGAGAACAGCCTCTCTGAGAATCGCAGTGCGGATTCTGGAAACACCATGGAACCACGGGCATGATCTTCGTGGTCCGCCAACTGCAGGAAAAGTGCAAGAAAATGAGGACTGACCGCAGCACCAACTGTGTTGATCTGAGAAATGTCTCTGACGCGATGATGACTAGGCGACGCAATCAGTTTTTACACCCTAATGATAGGGTTGGCTATTTTGATAAAAAGAAGTAGTTTATAAGATTCCATGCGGCACCTGTAAAGGAGTATATCATGGTTAAACCGAGAAATCCGCCTCCACACGCTTACCTGAACGGAAGGTGGCAGTACAGAGGCGGGATTACTTACCCCAAGTCGCCATGCATTAACTAGAAATGGGGCACAGATTTGCTTGATATGAAAGCCGAATTGTCAGATTCTGTGCATAAAAGAAAGGTCGACAATCGCTAGGGCCCTTCATTCACATGATTCAAGCTTCAATCAAAACACAACGTCTAATAATCTCAAAGTAATGTGAAAAAGGTCATAGCCAATCAAAACGTATGTCAGCCCACAGTATCAGACCATTCGCAGCACTGACAAATCAATATCGATTTTTCAGGCATGTTATAATTTTAACTGTTTTTCACACTTTCCACACGTCTGACGACGACGACGACGATCTGGGGAACCCGCTTAGATGCGCTTGCGCTCCTGCTGGGTATACAAGATGTGGGCACGGCCGCCCAGTCTTCATCGTCCTTCTGACTCCTGTTGGCGTGTTGGTATTGTTGTTGATGCTGTTTTGTTGCTCAAAAACCTGGCCATTTGCCGTGTGGACCAGACAGCGTGGAATGGGACGCTAAGGTGAAGGCTCAACCATACAATCCACCTGCTCCCCTGACGTAAAAGGTATTGTTCTCACGAACTAACGAGTTATCTCTCACGAGCCCCTAGCCTTAAAAGCAGCAAGTAAAACTGAGCAGTTAATAATATAGAGATTTTGAACGTTGAGAAAACTGGCAGCAGTGGACGACAGCGGAGCACGCTAGCAAGGCGGGTTGTACAGGTGTGTTCTTTTCCGTCACATTCAAACAAGCAGTCCGAGCAAAGAAAAACGGGACTAAATTGTCCGGCACGTCACCACAGTACCCCCCTACTGCAATGCACTATTCGCTCTCCCCGACTGGTTGATAACTCTTACCATACATTTCAAATACCGTTAAGCGATGATTGAGATGCGCCACTGAAAAAACATACAACTCAGTGGAACTCAGTTTCAGCAGTCCCATTAAAGCTGTCCCAATTTCACGGGCAAGGGGTGCTTTGCCATTGCACGCCACCTCAAGTTGCGTTTACGAATTCAAATACAATTGTGGATGCAGGTACGTTGAGCGAGCGTAAAGGCACTTGGCGGTCAGGTCAGTTGAGCACCCGCCAAAATGGCTTCGAAAGCAGGAGAATAAAATTCTACGGTCTCCTCTTATAAAGCACCTCCTTGATACGGGTCGCTTCGTCGACCCAAAAACTGCAGCCTGTCGTTTTATCACACAGGCAATAAATGAGAAAGATACAGCGATTTATACATCTAAAGTAGGAGAATAAAATTTCACGGTTTTCTATCACAAAGCGCCTCCTAGCTAACGGTCATTCGGTTTACCCCAAAACACCTTTTTGAGTATTAGTTCGGGCACGAACAACTCGGATACTGCGTTACATGGAGACTGCCTACATACGGCGAGGGAAACCCGACTTATGCAAACAGTTAGACCACGGGGTCAACCTCAGCTTGCCTTAGTAAAGCTCAGCCGTTTGATTTGCGCAATCCCTCAGCGCGTTAACTTCCCCTTTTTCTTTCCTATCCTGAATTTTCAAGTTACCATTTTATTGATTAGTCTGCGTGCAGTATACGATGACCTTGCTGTTTTATATTGATTTTCTCTGTGGAAGCTCAAATCTCTGTATTTTCTCATCCGTTATCTCTGTTATGCAGCCGTCGTGAAATTAGATAGTTCAAATAAATTCTGCTATGTATGCTTGTTTCATATCCATTCTGGGGAAATATTGCTTCAAGGATACTTTCTAACGACTCGCAACAGCCCGTCTGCTGCAGATTTTCGTATCCGTTCAAAGTCCACTGCAGACAACAATTGTCGTAACACCTTTAATGTATCACATGAAATCATATCGTGGATACCTCTTGTATATGCATCTGCTTCTGGTAATGTCCAGTGCTGTAACATGGGCTATTGCCAATTAACCATACTACCACGCATTCATTTTCAAATCAGTATTTCCGAAGCTGAGGTAACTTCTCATCTCCTGAATAGAGTAGGTCTTATTCTACTATCGCATAACCTGAAAATTCGTGTTGCTTGATGCAAATCTCAGGTGAGGGCCACGCTGAATCTTTATCATTTGCGCCTCGTGCCTTGTTAGCGTTTAGGTTTTTCTATGGGTAGGTTCATTTACGAGGTCGATGTCAATTGCCGGTGAAGCAATCATGAGGACTGCCGGGGTGCGCTGTTCTAAACGATTCACGCTCAGTGAATCTCCATTTCTTGCCCAATGTAATATTTACAGGCGCGAAAGCTGATTTTTCAGTTACAGGATGGTTTAAATATGAAATTTTCTCGTTTTCGTTAATGACCTTCGACGGCGAAGACGCACAAACCTGCCTCCCCGCATATGACACTGAACAGTGTGTATAATTACCTGTGTACCTCTGTCGCTGCGCATACAGGCCATCAATGTCTCCTTCGATTCCTTTCTAGGGTTGCTTTCTACTCCTTTGTGGGTTATATTGGCTGGTCCTCATTCTTCGTGATGCTTTTTGTTTTCCTGTCGCTTGCAGTCATCGTAGGTTCACCGATCTTATTTTATATTTCTAAAACTAATCCTACTTACGGGCTCTTCAGTACGCTTTATTTCTTACTTTTGATTCTCGGCCGACGTGTCCTTCGGGAGTATGTTGACTGTCGCGTGACCTTGCGAAACGCACACGCCTCTGTGGAATAACTGTTGCAACATGCATCATGTTGGGTGTCAGATTTCTTCCGCAGCCACTTTTTAACCGGTTCCATTGGTGCTGTGGTCAGCTGAATCTTTCCCCTTTCTTTACCCACCTCCCCACCCTTCTCCAAAATGATTTGCAAACTACTGGAAGCTGTTCCTTCTCGGATAATCTAATAATTCTTCATCTTATTTTTTGTATGCTCATTACCTTTATATGATGTGATCTTTTGTTGAACAGTCCCATGTTTTGTTTAGGTCTCTACGGGGTTTTCTTTACTCCTTAAGCTGACGCCATAGATGCTAGAAAATCCTCATGAGAGATTATTTAAGGCCCCCTACTATGTGGACAGAAATTCTAAAAGGTGTTTTATTTGGTACTGTTTCAAAGACTTAAAGTTCTCTAACAAGCAGAAAAGGTTTAGTGAAAGACGGTTGTATGTTTCACCAGATTCGATCTTGCGTTAGACAATTTAGGCGAGAGCCGAGATGAATCTTTATCATTTACGCCTCGTGGCATAGACAGAAGCGATGAAAAATTAAGCCAAGTGAGTCTCCGGAAGTTCCTGGACAATGTATATGGGGTCAGGTGATAAACTTGATATAAACTTGGTGGTTTTGTTGCCGTTTCGGTACTAAGATCTCTACAATAGGAAGTTGGGCACAATTTCCACTTTTTCTAAACCCCAGGGCATGTTTTAAACTGTCTTGCTGACGGAAGGGTCCACTTCTTGACCAAAGGCCTTGTTTCTAGGCTCTTTCTTTGCCAGATTACCGGGGCAGGCGAATTTCCTGGTTGGTTTATTTTATAAACACGGAAGTGTCCTCACTCTCTCACAGCTGCACGACCTTCGTCCTGCGCTGGACATCATGCCACCGATCTGCAGTACTCTTGAAAAACGAATGTCTAGCGTCCACCTTACCGCAAAATTGAACGGCCTTAGAACAGAATATCAGTCAGTCGTCAAGCTTTCTGATGGAAACCCAGTCTTTTGCGGCAAGGCTTGTTGGCTTCTGACATCTTTTGTGATTCCATTAAACCCCTGCCCCCTTGGCGGGTGGAGTTTAATTCAAGGTGGTGGCTCTTGACATAAAGATGACAGTCATCGCTGTCAGTGCGGTAAATCATTTGTTTCTCCCGTGGGCGTCGTGCAGTGGCGAGACGCTCTGAAGATCGACGGAATGCCTTTTGCACCACGATGGCACGGCCTTGATTGGGCTCTTTTCATCCACCGACAGTGTGCTTGGCGTGGGCGTCTGATGTGGACTTTTTGAGCCTTTATGTGTGTGCTCATCCGACTTTTTCGCTATGAAGAGAAGCAGTTCAGTTATTACAGGCCGTGGGCTCGTTAAATTTGCCCAACTGGATGCCCACGGATAGATAGAACCGCATTACGTAATCCCGAATTCGTTGCGACCTCTCTCAGCCACAGGCGGCACTTCTGCTGACCTTGCGGGTTATCGGTATAGAAGAAGGAGACATGATTGCCGGAACAAGAGCCCTTTTAGCCTGACGTTTCCAACTGTCATTTGGATCCATTAGCAGAGACAGAGTCAGATAAGCGTGGTGGATTGCCCAGGTATTGCAGTATTTGTAGGACGTAGTTGATAGACCGCTGCATGCTTATCACAGTCGGCAGCTCACGAGTGCATCACGGTTTGACTAGCCAGGCGTTGAGGTATGCAGTTTCTATGCCCTTGTGCGACTTTCACGATTATCGGCTACCACGCTCATTGCACACAGTCGAGTTGCTGACTGTCGGATATCCTCATCCGTGTAGACTCTTGTGCCGACATTGACACTAGGAACAGTGATCACGCCCTCCGCGTGGCTAACCTACTTTGCCTAGGCAAAGTCTTAGCACCGAATATGGAGTGGGGAGATCATTGCGTTTGTTTTTTGATTGAGGATCGGGAAACCATGACTCGAGCAATTCGCGGTTGTGGCCTCTAGCATGAATTTCTGCTTCGTCAAACTTGTATATGTGGTTGGATTCTGTCGAATGAGCCGCGACTTGGTATTCGATGTCGGTGCAGGATTTTACGACCTAAGGTTATACTTCCGTAGGCTGCATAAACAAAATTGTCCGTGAGTTGGTCCGCAACATGGAGACCATTCAGGGTGTTTTAGAGAGTTTTCCTCAGTTCTTATAGGTTTCTCGAGTGCGGAAGGAAAGCAGTTTCGAAAATCAGGAGATTGGGGCAGGCAGGTTGACTTGAATATTCGTGCCAAATTTGAAACCGGGCTTTTAACTAGTATCTGCACTGTAACTATGGAGAATCATGCGACATTCGCGTAGTGCAGCTTATGCGTTTGTATCACCGAGATGATTATTTCGGCACAAAGATTAATAGGCTTTCAGACCGAGCCTAAAATATAACTACCTCGTAGGATTCAATTCAAGTTCTCACATTTATTTTTGAGAAAATCAAAGAGGTCGACATTGAAACTAGAGTTCATATATCAGAAGGCACACTCGGGAACTCTAGGGGACACGCTACTGAGCCGAAACCCCCGTAGCTGCGTCATGCAATAGAACAAGATTGGTGAAACGCGCGTCCGGGCTCTCAGGTAGTATCCGTGTCTTCGATATGAGGAATCTTCCAGCATTCGAAAAGTAGAAGATGCTATCGCTGCAACGCGAGTTTTATTTGATTGACGCTTCGAATCCATCATCATCATCATCATCATCATCATCATCATCATCATCATCATCATCATCATCATCATCATCATCATCATCATCATCATCATCATCATCATCATCATCATCATCATCATCATCATCATCATCATCATCATCATCATCATCATCATCATCATCATCATTCTCATCCTCATCCTCATCCTCCTCCTCCTCCTCATCATCATCATCATCACCTATTAAAAGTTCACATCAGACGAGAACCACCCTCACAGACACGTTGCATTTCACACTTCTGGCAATAGACAACAGGCGTGATATCTCGCACCAACGCGCGCCTGACACCGACGCTACCTGCAACCTACATGTAGTCACGTTTAGACGTATTAGCAGCAATCTCTACCTTGTTTATGCTGGTTAGCCGGGTGCTGTGCAAGTCCAATACCACTATAAAGTAATTCCCACGCAAGTCACTTTTCCCGCGTCCACCCTACTGTGGGGCACACGATACACATAGTCGGTAACAGTGGTTTGAACTGTCGGTTAGTCGGCCTGGGAATGGAGATTTCGAACTTGCTTTCAAGGAAATAAGGTTCAAGCGTTCACGAGGTCTCGCAAATTATAGAAAAATTAATGGACTAGAGGCGCCATTGAGTCACCGTCAAGAACTATCGCGGTCTGATCTTTGATCCGAGTTATCCCGTCAGCTGGCAACTTTCCAAACTGGGTTTTTTTGCGTCGCGGCAGGCTGAAATCTGATTACGGAAACTGATGCGAGAATTTCTGGATGTCTTTAGCGTTGCGTATTTTGCTTGTCCATCCACTTCCTTTTCTTGTGCAGAAATTGTGTTTACGTAATTATGTCAAACAAACTATTAATAAATTTTAGCGAAAATGGACGTTGCAATATATTCGTGCCATTTCGTATGCTAATACACGTCCTAGACTCCAGTTGCGTATCTGAGCGAGTTTTTTCACTGAAAGAAAAATAAATTACCCGCGAGATTTTTAGTAAACAGAGACAGCTGTACTTGAAAATTTATTTTATGCCTGATGCTAACCGTGGTCATGAACTAGCAAACAAAAAGGTTATTTTAAGAAAACCAGATGTTTTGTCTATTCTTCAAAGTCATATCAACAGATCTGTGTGATGTGGTGCCCTGAAGTGCAGTTTTAACGCAGATAGGGATTCCCTCGTTTAAATGGACTGACATTGTTTTGTCGTTTTGAAAATTTTACGTGATATCACATACATGACCACCACCGAATGGTCATTTCCAGTTTTAGACATATGAAGGATTACTTGTTGCGTGGTCTAGCTTCTTCAAATACCTAATTCAGAAATGGAACGAGCGAAACATTAATATTTTCCGCGAAATATAAGTATTTAGATGGGCACTCCGCCGTGCATTCATACTCGAAAGACGCAGTTTAAAAGCCAGCAAAAAAAACAGTGCAAATGACCGCAATACATATAGAAAAGGCATGTTCTTACGTTTACGGTAGAAAAATATTGGTATGGTTTAGAAACGCGAAAGAAACGGCCAAAAGTGTGCGAGTTTTTCTTGGCTTCATTGTGAAAAATGTAAGGTATACAAAGATTCGCCAACGGAGTGCAGTATTAAAGCACTTCTTAAAGAGGTAACTTATTAGGGAAGGTTTCCGTATTGATCGAAGGCATATTCGTAGCTGACTTTCGTTGTAGACAGCCATTTTTTAGAAAATGAAATTTGATGCTTGAATGAGTCTTCACATGTAACCCAAACGACCATCTTCGTGAAAAGGAGCGCTAAAATACTCGCCAATTCGGTAAATCCCTTCAAAAACTATCTTATTTTAAAGTTTTTAAGAGATAGGTAATTTCGAATCTCTCTTTATGGACGATCGGGTGAAAACGTTGAAAATCATGAAGTATTCAGCAATATTTCAAGGCCGATCTGAAACTCAAAATAATCCAGAACGAAGGAAAATTATAACTTAATTAAATGGAAGAAAAGTTCTCTCTACAAACAAAAAAATTTATGTTTACGATCACGCCTGTCAGTTCATTTTAAATTTGTCAGACACCGATTGGCCTAGCAGCATGTCACGTTGTGACAACTTTTGTTGCTTCAACGTCTCCATTGGTTTAATCAAGAAAAATCCAGTTTCTCCTGTTTAACCTCATCTTATTTAACTCAAACGAGTCAAAAATAACACAAAACCCTGGAACACTGTTTTGAAATCTATACACAGAATGCAGGCTGTTGACTAACCGCAATATATGAAATCACACTAATTATTAAACGATATTTAATTGCAAACTCCACTGAAACACTATTATTAAACGTTATTTTATTTTTACTGTCATATTGGCTGTCTTTGGTATGATATTTCATCATTTACATCTAAAAATGAAGTTTACTTTATCATAGCCATTTCTGACGTTTTCGGGATATTGCGCTTTTCCAAAAAAATGGGCATTTGTAAACAACGCAACATTGCCTTTGATATTTCTGTTGTTTTTTTAAATATTTTCAAACTTTTACTTACTTAACATAAACATTGGATTCATTAAATGGTGTTGGTTTGCGAGTGATTGGCAATCATTCGTAAATCTCGACACCTTTAATGAGTTGGGTCACGTACTGTACGTCGATATACCACAAGGAAAATGGCTTAGGACAAGACTGGTTCTTCTGTGGTCTGTCAGGGAACTATTAATTTACTCCTAAAATGGGCCAAGCGGTAGATGCGGAGGCCACGCCGGATTCTAGCAGTCGTTATCGGGATTAAGAAGTAGAAGCGATCGCAGGAACAGCAGCTTTATTCGCCCGACGTTTCGAATTCTCGCTCGAACACAGCATCGGAGACAGTAACAGATAGGGGTAGTTTATGCACAGGAAATTGCAGTATTCATGTGATGCAGTCACTATGCTACTGCATACTTATGATAATTAGCGGCTGTCCCCTATCATCGAGGAGTGTTGTCCGCTGGTGTGCTAATTGCCTAATGGCTGAAATCTCACCATCCGTGTTAAATGTTAGTGTCATGCTTTCTCAGCCACCTGGCCCACTGGTCCGAGCGCTTCCTAAGCGGCTAATTGTCTTGGCCAGACTACGTCTCATCACCGAATATGTGGTGGGGATATCATTGTACTTGTTGAAAGGCTGCGGTCCCATAAGCCATGACTCGAGCAACTCGCGGCTCACGCGATTATCACCTTTCGCGAAAATTTCGGCCTCATCGAACTTGAAGGTGTCGTCGGGTCTCGTCTAGTTGGTCGTGACTTGACAGTTGGCTTCATTTTTTCGCACTGCTGTCGCGCGTTCGGCAATTCGCGTCCCAGTAATTTTCCAGTTTCTCCGACGTAGTTACTTTGCACACAACTACGGCAGAGCTTAAAAACGACTCCAGACGTTTCCTGCCGTAGCAGTGGGTCTTTTGGTCTCATCATCAGAAGTTCAATGGTTGCCTCTGGTCTGTGTGCGACTCAAACTCCAAGTGATGGGAGAAGGCGACTGACGGCCTCGGAGACGTTCTTGGCGTACGGAATCGCTCACCAAAATTCAAGTTCTGTATGAGATTTCACAAATACCGTCAGAGAATTGACTAAGAGAAGGTCAGATGCTGCAAACCTTTTTACTTCTGCGTCATTTGTAAATTTATATGCGAGCAAAAGAGCATTGAGCCGTTTTTGCTGTACATTTTGAGTAATACTTTCAAAATAAAGCGTATTCCTCTCCATCCATATCTCTTGCTCTCTCTTTCTCTCACTCGAGGCTGCCTAAAGAAGTTACGTAAACCAATGTCGGTACTTGGTGGAAGCACCTCCTTCTTCTTCTCATCCTCCTCCCCCTCCTCCTCCCCCTCCTCCTCCTCCTCATCCTCCTCCTCCTCATCCTTCTCCTCCTCATCCTAATCCTCATCATCAGTAGCAGCAGTAGCTGACTCACCAAAACCCACCATATCTGTGCGTTAATGTACGTACAGTCTGGCATTCTCACCAATACGGGTCCGTTTACCTGACCAACGCCCCTATAAATCTTGTGTGTGCTAGTTCACGGGTTTGATGGCAGTCAACAGAAATCGGTCAGCCGCCCACTCTAACCTGTTTGAACTTAAATTATGTTGCACAGCAGATATATAATTGTCCCAATGGAGAGTGTTGCTGTGTTCACCAGAGTTCGCAGGTTCTGGCCCTACCTTGTAGATACTTCTCGACAAAGCATGCCAACTGCTGGGAATCCTGAAGCGTTTAGTATTGCATACTCCGTGCTATATGCGGGAGATGCATTATTATTATTATTATTTCGGTTTTCAGAAATTTATCTGAGACTTTGGGGATTTTAAAAGTTCGAGGTCGTTTTCCCCAGGTCTAACTTCTGCAATCTGTCGAACGCTCTGAAAAATAAGTCAATCCAAATTCAACTTATATTGCTCGCTTATTTCTATAATTCTGGTATTCCGTAAACAATGTTTTTCACTACATGTACGTACGTACCCCGAAACCGATGTCTTTCTGCCACGAATGGACGCTGCCCTTGACTAATTTTTCCACACTAATTCTGCTCTTAAGCTTTTGTATAAAAGACTCCTTAGTTTCTTTTATAATTCTTTCCGATATGTTATTCTAAAAATTGGTTTTTTAGCGGGCAATTTTAGGCTTTTTACTGGACGGTAAATTAACGCTCTAGGCACATCTGACTGGGCCTCCTCATTGTACTATTGGCTTCAAACCAACGATACATTTTGCTTGCTATTCCTAAGCCCCACCCGATGCCATTAGGAAGAAGAAGGCCCTTTGATTAATTTTTAACAAGTTCCAGAATTTCCATCTGACCTCCTCCATTGTGCTTATCGCTCTTCCAATGAGCCAGTATTGCAGCCTTGATTTACGGTTTGGCTAACAACGCGTGTCTGATTTCCAGACTGCGAATCTGCAAACCCAAAAAGTGCTTCTCCTGCGACGGAATCGAAATGCCGATCGAGAGGCTGCCTGAGTGAGGCTCACACCTCGGTAGGCCCACCGTATGCGTCAGAAATGAGTAGTTGTCGACGTTTGCACGGGCCAACGGTGTTGAAGGCTGTGGTCCACGCGTTGGATTAGGATCGACAGGAAAGGCCGAGTTACACCCTTCCGCGCGATATTTTTATCCGGCCCGCCTGACTGAGTCTAACTTAAGGGTCTCGTAGAGTCTGGCATACGGATAGCACACACACCTCCGCGTATGAGCACTCAAGGCCAGAGGTTGTGGTGACGTTGCCAGAAAACCAAATTAGACGGCTGCCGTCAACGCGAGCAATATGTGCCAAACTGACGGCTGCATAGGTACAGAGGTCAGTTTTCTTCCACCCGTTTTCGGCGCATAGGTAATGGTCCGCCAGATATGAATAAAGTGATACTTATTTTGTCGTAAACATTATAATCATGTCACAGGTGACTTTTTAGTGGAGGTGTCAGATCAGACCCTAAAATTCCTGTGAAGGCAACGGTTGATAACAGTCAACTTCAGTGGAAGAGCGGCGTCCGTGTGCATGCCTAACCGACAGTTTTGGATATCTTGTCGATACATTCGGCCCATAATAATTCAGAATACAATGGTTTTTAATTAGTACTAAGACCAATCGCTAGAGCATTCTCAGCAACAGAACGGAATCGCAAAGAAAGCAGAGCGAACGAAGGGATCGCTACAGGGAGTGGACGTTATTCATCAGACTTCAAAATATGACATTTTGTATATCCCTCCCCCCCCCTCCCGCCCCGAAAGACCACCTGATTCTCCCGTATGTAGGCATTTTGGATAACTAGAAAAATAGGGCCGACACTGTCGTCAAGAAAACACTATTCACTGACAAATCAGTGCATCTGTAGGTTTACGCATTAACTGTCTTTGATGTTTTTAATGGTCGTCGGATAACTGAAACGTCACTACAACTCTGGGTTCATAGTTAAGGACAGACACTAAACGGCACAGGCTACATCGTCATCAGAACAGACAAGTAGCTTTGCAAACTTACCGTCCTGCTCATGGAACATTAGTGTTACTGCGGCAAAATGAAGAGAATGCATGATCCCGGTAACAAATAAAAGAAAAACGAGATCTGGGATCCAGAAATTAATATTCTTGACATTTAGGAATAAAACATCTTTTATTGCCGGACGACGTGGGTTGGAGCTAGCTCCAGCATTTGGCAACGTTCATGACTGCACTGACAGATGGCCAGGGAAAAATCATATAGCACTACCGGCTAAGGCAAGGGAAACCGAACTGGCCGTCTCCAGCTTATTAGCCGTCATCAGTCAGCCATGCCCGACCTTAGGTTTCGCAACCCCTGAGGCTCGATCCCACGGCCTGTCTGCTAGATGTTCAACTCCCTAACCACTGAGTCACGGGCTCGTCGTGCTGTCGTTTGCAATCGGGTGGGGGGAGGCACTCGCTGATCGCGTTACAGTGCACACCTCATTGCGTCTTGGAGCTGAATCTGGAGTCCCGCCAACAGTCGCTCAGCGGCAAGCAATATAGGCGGAATAACAATGTCGACTAAGATATGGAACTTTTGACTTCTAACTAACAGGTCGCGGGATCGTGTCGCAGAGATTACAAAGCCTGGGTTTGAGGATGACTAATAAGCCACAAATGGCAATTGCATTCTCCCTTTTCTCCGTTAATAACGTCACCTTGTCGAGCACGCTGTGCGGCTGCTTGCTGGGCTCGAGATCGAGCCCCAAGTCACAGCGAAACGAGAGTCTCGTAGCGCGATTCGTGAGGGCTCCCCTGCCACTGATAAGCCCTATACCCGGAACTCCTTGGTCAAACACTCCGACACAATACCACCGACACAATATCGCTCAATTATTCATTCCAAAGACGAGGACGGAGGGCAGGAGCCGTAGGGAAGCGGGCTCTGTTTGGTCCGAACAAGGTGCGACGGATGGATGTGGACTGCGCGGTTGGTGGAGAGTAGGATGGGAGTAAGTCTGCTCGTGACTGGTTGTAGGCCGGTGATATCACATGGGTGGTGGTGGTGGTGGCGGTGGTGGTGTTGGAAAACAAGAAAAGGGGAGAAGGATGTCGAGCAGGCGCCAGTTGGTGAATTAGCAAGGGGAGTAACATACGTTCGCGCGTGACATCGATCAAAAAGGGCGACGTTTCGAGCGACATGTGCCACCATACCCACCCTCTTTCGGTCACGGACAAATAGGCTTTGGCCAGTAGTCGGTGAATGTAGCCATGATCATCGTTAACCCCCGTAGGGCGTCGTGACACCCTGCTCTCGGGCAGATTCATCTTTATAGTTGCGGGCATTTTGAGTAGCACCTTTTTAGCTGGTGTAATCTTTCTAGCACATGATCGCACGACAGTTTTTAATTCCTATAACCATCTCATACTGAACGTCTAACAAAAAACCTTTATTTCTTGCCAAAGGTGTCTGAATAAATGCAGCATCTAGCGGTTTTACCAGACGGGCAGCTCGCCGTAATCGACAGCACGTGACACCGTGACGTAACATTCGGTTTTATTAGCAAGGCACCCACGGAAGGCAAATTTTTGACAGTGCTGCGGTATAAACAAGCTGCATTCCCTGAATGTTATTGTACGCTGGCGAGAGGACGGCTGTACCCACAGATCAACCCATCAAAAGAACACTTGAAACTCAGAGGACTTACATTTTCCGAGTTTCGTTTAAGTTCCTAGATGACGGACTGCAAATACTTGTTCCCTGGAAATTGTGAATAGCTGGGTAATTTCACTGAAGGACAGCCTGCTCATAAACAAACAGTCTGAGAAATTTACCGACAAGGACAATCCAAGAGAAATTACAGCTCCGGAAATACCTTGGAGCACCTACCCCTCTTTCGGGATGGGTACTGCGTCAAGTGAGATCAAACAACGGCTTCGAGGCACGATTCGGTGGATATTCACCAGTCTACACTTAAGGTTCCTATGATTTGGAACGGCCATCCACGTTAGACTACTTAAAGACGCATCATGCTTTTGAGCTCCAGCGTAGTCGCACATACAAAACTGCCAGAGGCAAGCAAAAACAGTCAGTCAACTGAGCCAACCCCAAAGTGATCTTTTAGAAAACAAACAATTCGGTATTGAGAAACTCCACAACAAAGCTACTTATCAAGTCTAACAACGACGTTATAGGCCCTGCTAGGAGAAACAAAAACCGTCGCCAATGTCACCCGGAAGCCGCGGTGACACTGGGGATATAGCCGGAGGTGCGCGAGACTATGCATCACGTAGCTCACTGCCAAGATACGAATGCCTGACGTCAAAAATACCTCTTCCCAACTACCCAAGTTCCCCTCCTCCATTCCACGCGACACCGACTGCTGCTTCATGCTGTGTGACCTCGATCAGGCCTGACGATTTGACCTTGTAATCCCAACTCGCTCACCTGCGTCACTCGTCCCCTGAGGTCGGAAAATATTCGCCATGAGTGTGCTTGTGCTTTCCGTTTATGAACAAGGAGGGTCAGCATTTGAAGTATGTGTCGCGCTGCTTGTCATACAATCATGCCAGTGTCGTTACTTTTTTCTTGTTTAAATTTATGTTATGGAAACCGTATTTCAGAGCACAAGAAGGGACCGTGGGACGAATGGCCATTAGGAGAATGTAGCTAGTAACGTTGCTGTGCAATTTTCAGCACGCCATCTTCAATATTCCACCTTCGTCATAAAATTGGAATAAAACCAACGCTCGTTATTGACTGCATCCGCGTGCCTTCAACAATGTCTTATTTGCAATACACGGCGCTTCGAATTGCCCCGGTTTCCCGAATAAATTATTAATTCAGCGCACATTAATAATACACCGACTGTACATTTTCGCTAGTCCCTTGTAAGCCCAGTCGTTGATTATTTATTTTGCGATCAGGGCCAGGGATTGCTAACGATCCCCATACAACCAGTGTTTTTTTCTTAACTTCCAGAAAATATTTTACCGGATGACATGGGCTATTTTACCTTGTTTAATTGCTGAGGAAATTAATGCGCGAATTTAGAATAAATTCTTCGGAGCAGACCGTTTCATGCATGGTCCGAAAGGTGATATGAATATTTGAGCTAAAATCCATTAGCTACCACGGAATAACCGCGTTATATTCACAAACCACCAACAGGCAGCCAATATAAAACTGGAGTTCGTATACAAGAAAACACAGGGGGAAATATGGGGGATCCAATGGTGAGCCGAACCCCTCGCAGCTGCGTCAGGCAGCGTCACAAGATCGGCGAAATACATGCGTGTCCGGGAATTCACCCATTATTTTCATATTTTATGCTTGAAGAAAGTGTGCATTTCGGTTTTAAAAAGTTTTTCATTTCCCGAATAATTTTCAGGTTAATCTTCCATTGCATCAGCATTTAGCAATTTCAGTCTACAAGGTACATGCTTTCCGCCTAAATAAACTCATATATTCCTATATGCCTTTAAGAAGATACCACATAAATTTCATGAAATTTTGCAATGCATTCGGACTGTGCTGTAAATTTAATGAGGAGCATTAGTAAACGGACGTGTGCGGTCTCGCATGCATGGTCATCGCACGGTTTTAAAAATTTCATAATTCGAAACTTTTTTAAAAACAAAATATACATCTTTTTCGGGCATAAAATATAGGGAAAATGTGATTTCCTATCAAATGAGGAAAAGTACGCATATTTAGGGCATGCTCTGTATAACATATATTTGAATTTAAAGAGACCATCGAAAATCAATAGGAAAAATGCATGCTATTTAAGTAGTCATTTTTACATAGCGTGGTGTCTGCTGGAGGTCAAAAAGAAGTACATTCAATAGCAGACATCCTGCCGATTCCGAAATGTTGTAGGGTTATGCCGCCAGATAGTCAGTATAAGAACCTCTCTTAAGTAATCCTTCCTAATCGGAGACGCATTCTAGAATTTTGGCCAACATTTAATGAGATCGGTCAGGCACTGTATATATATGCAGAAACGTGACCGAATTCCGTCAGTGACCAGTCCGCATTTGCGATAACTGTTGGTGATGTGACACGTGAAATGGAGCGTGTCCCCCCAAACGGACCATGTGGTAGATGCGCTGGACCAACACGGGTGTCATATCGGATTCTGGCAGGCGCTTACGGATTTGCACACCATAATAGGTGTCCACGTTTCGCAGGTACGACGGCGGACCCGGTTGCCGGCGGACGTCGCGCACACTGGGACCCCTGATGTCCTCCCCCCGTTAATATTGTTGGTCAAAAATCTGGTTCTTTGGTATGTGGACCAGGGGGTGGGGAGTGGAGCGCCAAGGTGCGGGCTCGACCGTTCCATCCACCTGCGCCCTCGCGCGCCCCCGGTCTTCTCGACTCTGTCTTGATACCGGGTCCAGGTGGGCGAGGAGGAGGAGAGAGTGTGGTAGATGCTGCGAAAGTCTACTATCACTGTAATCTTATTCACGCACAAGTCGCTGTCCCTGCTCTCACCTTGCTGTCGAGCACACGGTGGACGTAGTCGAAATCGATGGTCGAACTGTCGGAATGGAGGGCGCACGCTACTGGTGTACGGCTGAGGATTCGTGCCCTGTGTGCTTTGTGTGTGAGGCCCGAAGTGAGGTGACGCTCGATTCCGTACAGCCTGGATCAGACTAAGTTTATGTTACTACATACCTTCATGTTGACTGCTGGAAGTTCCATACGACGCCTAATCAAGCTAATGCCTACATGTCATTGTTCCTGTAAGTTCGGGTCATTTTGTTGCACACCTCGACATCTCCCCGTGATCCAGCGAAGTCACATGCGTAGCTACTGTCCAACCTACATCAGACGACAGAGAGAGAGGCAGGTTAGTCACAAAGTCCCACTTCCGACTCATGATGTTGATATCACCTTGCCCATTCACGGAATACCTGACTCACGTAATTTAATGTCCGTTTACGACATTCAGAGTTGAATACGGTGTCTGACTGTTAAGGACATCTGCCAGCTCCACAATCAACATGAATCACCGCGCGGGTGACGAACGATGTTCACTCCTAACACTGAGCGACCCGTTACTTCCACCCTGTACTAACGGTTCATGGGTTAGTCCGTGGACACGTTTAAATGAGACTTATAGAACATCAATTCTTCCTGAGATAAGCAAGAACGCAGAATATCCACTCTTGTTCGTATTTTTCCTTGCCACAGCGCATACTAACTGTGGCGCCAAATGATTGCCATTGACGTTCCAAAGCTTAGTGAAGTATTTCCAGCTAGCCGTTCGCAATAATCTAGAACATAAGGTCGACGTGGAAGCCCACCAATAGGATGTGCGCAGGTAGATATCCAGTATCATTGCAGTGCTCGCCGAAACTGTTAAGTGCCCTGTCAGCCCAAAGTCCTGAAAACACCCTGCGGACGTTTCCGGTGCGTAGTCATTCGAACCCGTGTCAAGGCAATCACAGCCGCTCTTGCGTCGTCTACTACAACAAGAGTCACAAACCGACATCGTGGACTACCTCCGCCTTAGGAATGACTTGATGTTTCATTAATTGCTCTGACTAAACCAGCGGTTCTCGGCGGCAGGGGCATCAGATAACGGTTCTGCACAGTATGCATACCCCATTCTGGTGTCTTCCATCTTTTGCGACTATTCGGGACCTGATCTACTGCTCGTGGGCAGCTGAAAAATACACAAAAAATCGACGTTGTAGCTCCTTTAGCACGGATTCTGTTAAACGACATACAAAAGGGACCTCGGCAATTGGCTATAAGTTGTTCATATAACAAGAGGATTGTAGATCAGAGGTGGTATGCATTCCGAGTGGATATCATGAAAAATAGAAGACGTTCTTCGGAAAAGTTGAGCTGGTGACACCAACCCGTCGTCAGACGAAATGAAAACACGGGAGAAAGGTAGGTTGTTACAGTAGACCAGTTGGTGATAGGACAGAAAGACAACTGACGTGTGAGGGGGGTGCTGCCGAGGTCATGGTAGGTCCCTGAATGAGGGGAGGAGGGAGAGAAGGCGGGAACAACTACAGCACACTGTGCTGGAGGGGGAGGGTGGGTGGGGAATCAGTTGGAATGCGGGCGGCTGTATTCACGGGCGTTGATGCGTGATTAGGGCAGGGGGCAGTCAGTCGTGAAAGTAGACCCTCGTAATGGGCATAAAAGTCAGCCTGGCGGTTGATACTACCCGCATTGGAGTACCAGGCCTCGAGAAATTCCCTCGCTCGCTTTGTGTTAGCCATGGCGACGACCTCAGTGCCATCCCAATTGAATCGGTGGTCGTACTCGACTGAATGGGCAAAGACGAGGGACAGGGAGTCTCGCCGACGGATGGCTAATTTGTGTTCGTTGATACGGGTGCCCAGGAGTTGACCCGTATGCCCAACATACACGCAAGAGCCATTGGCGCACGGGATGCGATAAATTACATTCATTTGTTGCTCTTTGGGGATGGGATCCTTCACTCGAGATAATGCTGCGCGTGGTGAAGATGCCGGTTTGTGGGCAGCGTGAATACCCAAGCGGCTGAACTGCCGGGCGATTATTTCAGAAGTTCCACGTACAAATGGCAAGGAGTAGAACTTTCGTGTCACAATCGCTCCGTTGGGGGGTGGGACCTTGCGACTGTGTCTGGTGCCTGAGGCAGTTCTTTAGGAAACTGATCGGATATCCGTTAGAGCGGAATAACCAATACAGGTGGGCAAGCCCGTTGTTCAGGAGATCGTTGCTGTTGCAATAACGGTAAGCCCGGTGGAACAGGGTTCGGACGCAGCTTCTTTTGTGAGCTGCAGGGTGGTTGCTTCCATAGTTGAGGATAATCTCAGAATTAGAGTCTTTCCTATGGACGCTTGTTGCTAGGCTACCATCGCTCAACTTTTGTATCCTCACTTCCAGAAACGGCAAGCTGTCTCCAATTGCCTCTTCGCGGGTAAACTGTATGGCAGGGAAGACGTCATTAAGTCTCTGGTGAAGCCGTTCGACCTCGCAGGTCTTTATTATGACCAAGGTGTCATCAACGTAGCGAAGCCATAGTTTTGGCTTGATAGTTTGGAAAACTACCTCTTCTGGTCGCTGCAACACTATTTCGGCGAGCAGTCCTGATATTGGTGGACCCATCGGCGTTCCCTTTACTTGTTGATTGTACCTATTATCGAATTTACAATAGTTCCTAAGGCAAAGATTTAGCAGTTCTGCAACTTGCTGCGTTGGGATCTCAGTAGGATTGTTCTGTAGGCGTTGGGTTGCCTATTCACTTGTCAAATCGTGTTGTATGGAAGCAAACAAGGCAACGACGTCAAAGGACAGTACTTACTTTGAGGCCTTGTACCCTGCGGAGGACTGCTTGAGAGTTGCTAATGCTGTAGTCCGATCCATGAGTGAGCCGCTTCAGATGATTGTATAACCACTTAGCTATATTGTAAGCGGGTGATCTGATGAGTAGCGCTATAATCCTCAGCGGGACATCCACTTTGTGCACTTTTGGGAGGCCATACGCGTGTGCGATATGGGGATCACTGGGGGTCATCAACTTGGAGTCATCTGGACCGATAACTTTCAGACGAGCGAGCTCATTAACCTTCTTCTTGATGGCTGCGGTTTGCTTTTTAGTTGGGTCTCCGGCCAGAAGAGTATAGGCCTCCATGTCACTGAAGGTTTCATTCGCCTTGTTAACGTATTCAAATTTGTCCATGATGACAGTAGCGCCACCCTTGTCAGTGGGAACAACGACGATACGGTGATCCGACTTCAATGAACGCAATCCTTGCGCTTCTTCGGCCGGTAGATTTTGTTGATATCTTTTTTGCCGGTGGCGCAGCCTCTTTTGTTCGCGCGCATTTCTTCCGGAAGGTTGGAGGCCAGTAGAATGGATTCAAGCCCAGCAAGGAAGTCGGTAGGTGAGGCATCCGTATGATTAAATCCTATTCCCTTTGATAGGAGGGTGATTTCCGCAGGTGAGAGACTCCTCTTCGATAGGTTGACAACTCTCGTGGCCAAATTCCCTTCGTTCGTAGGACGGAGAAGTGATTAAAGTTTCTCCTGGAGATCAAGTCTCTTCTTCAGTCTTGCACCTTTGGTGGTGGCACTAATTCTTTGCTGCACATCCTCGAATATGTAATTAGGTAGCTCTGAAGCACACTGATTTCATAGGTCAGTAAATTTTGCTTCGACTTTGCGGAGGCGATTGTGGACGTCAGATATTATAGCACTCAAAACACGTTATCCGGATTTGCGCGCAAGAAATCTCCCGATCTCATTCGGCAACGTCGGTTTGAAACGAAGAGACTTCGGTACCACAGGGTGATCGCGACATCGGTGGAGGAAAGTCAGTTGTTCGCAAGTCATTGCATGTCTGTGTGTGAATTTTTCCCAACGTCTGGTAAAAATAAGCGTTTGACGCCCAAATATACGTTGTAGATCAGAGGTAGTATGCATTCCGAGTGAATATCATGAAAAATAGAAGACGTTCTTCGGAAAAGTCGAGCTGGTGTCACCAACCCGTCGTCAGACGAAATGAAAACATGGGAGAAAGTTAGGTTGTCACAGTAGACCAGTTGGTGTGATAGGACAGACAGACCACTGACGTGTGAGGGGGGAGGCTGCCGAGGTCATGGATTGTTGATTGACAGAGTCAACAGTTGATGTAGGGTGCCAGTTAAAAGCTGATTGGCTGTTCATTGTGTCAGTCATTCAAATATTCACTGAAGATCGTATCAGTGAAAGTGATGTCGACCTCAAAGGTAACCTTATGACATGCAACCCGTTAGAACCTCAAATGGCAGGCTAGTTTACCGTCATAAGTAGGAGAGAAATTGTACTGACGATGCGACTGGCATTTATTGAGAAAACTAGATTGTCCAGGATAAACGTGGCGTTATGCGACAAGGCGATAATTGCCCCAAAGCAGGATTTTCGCAGGCAAGACGTCCACTAGGTTGCAGAACAGAGCTGGAGCCGAAATAACTCGTCCTATATTTTTTGCAGTCATTTCGTTGTGGCCCGCACAGGCCTTTGTGCTCGTTGAAGCACTTATTGAACCACCAAAAATGATAGATTTGACAAGCAAAAGAAGAGAGAGAGAGTCCGTTCCTGCAATTTGGTTCACTTGGTTCATCACAAAAGTCGTCCCTTTGTTTTTTATGGTGCTATCTCTAGCACGCTTAGTCGACACCCCCGCATCCACTTCAGATGTGTAGACAACGTTCTTTGCGGGAAGGTGTGAAGTGACCGTCAGTTTCGATGTATTGTCTGATCATTTATTTCTGTGCGATGAGGCTTTTTGCTATATTCTACGAAGAGACTTATAGTGATGAAACAGGACTTTGTTTATATCATTGATCGGTTTACACCACTAATTCCATGCTAACTTCGACTTTTAATGCGTGACCAGTTTAAACGGATCTGGGATATCGTTCTCGCTTTATATGGCAAAACTGTGCATCTTCTGTAATGAAGACCCTGAATTCCGATCAGCGCCTGCCTGTTTACATTCATAACCACATCCATTCAGAGTTTACTCTTCTTCTTCTTCCTCTTTTGCTTCTTCTTCTTCTTCTTCTTCTTCTTCTTCTTCTTCTTCTTCTTCTTCTCTTCCTCCCTCGCTTATCTCCTCAACGTCATTTGAGTCTTATAATGTCACCCAGTATCTCACTGACTCATCTGGCAGTGTAAGCTGAGCTATACGTTTTTCCCAACGCGACCTGAATCCTTTTAGTTTGTTTTTACTCCTCACCATCCAACTCATCGCCTACACCCACCCTTAACTCCCAGCCTCCTCACCCTTCCCCCTCTTTCGTGTAGCATAGAACATCGCTGAGTTAGCGGACAAATACAAGAATCAAGAAGGCGCCACTCGATCGTGACTGAAACACACCTGCCAAACAGATGCCCAAAGCACAACTTTTAAACATTTTAAACTTCATACCTGTTCCATACATTGCCGCCACCGCATTGGTTACATAAATTACTCGGTTTTTGTACACTTGCGTCAACAAATGTATTGTTTTTTTTAAAACTCTCGTCGCTCCGTCCTCATTCAGTCTGAACTTGGCAATTTAATTGGTGTGAAGGCGGTAGACAGGCAGAGTTGAAAAACTGGCCCGCCCAATGAGATGCGGCATCGATTAAGGAGGCAGTTTATCTTTCCCTTGCCGTGCCTACGAGTTCGAGGAAAATTGGCATCTAATTTGAAGGCGCGACATGACGGCCCAGCTGGGTGCTTGTATATTAGGCAAACAGTTTCGCTTTAGTCCGTAAAGCTAAAAAATATCAAATCTCCTGCACTTCGAACGGACTAAAAATGGCTCCTAGCTTTAGATGCGGTACTCTAGGCAATTACTCACTATTTTCAGGAGACGCAAGGTATTTCCCATGCGCACGCGATGTATAGTGTTCCTCAGGTCGAAAACGTTGTCCGAGTGAGTTTGTTGTTAGGGCTTCGATGAGCTTGTGGCAGTTTGCGTCTCCTCGCCCTCCGCTGCCGTCCCGTCCGCCTCACACTCCGTGTCGATAAGCCGCTGGGACGCGCGAGTGCTCGAAGCCAATCAACGCTGTCCCCACTATGATTGGTTGGCGACGCGGACACAACGAGGGGCGCACACACGCGCGGACAACACCTCGAAGGCGGACACAGACAACAGCTTGCTTGGAGCTCGCTCGCAGCGACTGCCTACAGAGCCCTTGTGTACGCACTTCCTCAGGCAGTAAAGGTTGTCCAACTCAAACCGTCCTCCCTGACTTTTGATTGGGAATCTTTATCTTGTCGACCACACACCGTTCGGCAAGCTTGATATACGAGCATCGCATACACCTCCGCGTATGTGCACTCAGTGTCAATGGTTGCGATAACGATACTACGGTGCCGGTTCTGTCGGCTTGTAGCAACGCGAGCAGAATGTGCCAGAGTACCAGCTAGATGTATGCGAAGATTATGATTGCTGGCCACCCTATTAAAGGTCATAGTCATCTCCAGTTTCTGAAGGGTTGTTTGAATAATATCGCTGCAGGTTCGTTGGAAAATGGTCCTCCGCATGACTGTTCAGATTGTTTTTCGATTGCGAGACTCTCCTATCCCTGAATCCTTTGACATTCTGCCCTATGACGTATCATCTTTTCGGCACCTTGGTGTTACTTCGTCCTCAAATCTCCTAGTCTCTATTTATACCGAAATAATTTTCCCTAAGATTCGTAAACTTGTTTAGTTTGACGAACGGAAGCGACTATGCGAGTCCCAGGTTCTTGTTGCAAAGAAGATGAACGCGCGATCTCTGGGACGGCACATGTATTAGTCTGAGATTTCGGTCTCGCATAGGAGGCCATCATCAGATTCTGTGTGAGTGCGGCGTCCAATGAGTAGTTTTGTAGTCAAACAAAGAAAGGGGCGAAAGGAGTGGAGGGGATGGTGTTCGTGGTAAGACGGAGTCCACGCCGTCTCAATGTGTCGTGACGGCGTTGTACCCTTGGCTGGGAATTGGGTCGCGCCTCTTGGCCGCAGGAACGGAGCGCGTGATAGCAGGGGGGTATATCGACGTGTCTGTTGATGGAGTTGGTGTCAGACACCCAGGCCTCCAGCAGTCCTCGCCCTGCCTTATAGCTCACCCGCACTACTATCCGCGTGCTCGCGAATTTGAATTCGTGGTGTGAGTAGCTACCTGAGACAGTGGGTAATCTCTCCGTACTGCCCATTTGCGCACCGTTATTCGCGAGCTAGACCGTCGTCCGTTCTGTCCTGCATAATGACGGGGTCAGACAGGGCATGATATCTGATAAACGACACCAGATTGTTCTCCTGCGTCTAGTCGTCCTTCATTTGCATGATTTTGGTACGCACGGTACGAGACCGGAATCTCAGACTAATAAATGCACTGTCCCAGTAATCGCGCGTTCGTCTTCTTTACTTGTTTGTTTTATTCGACGTTTTGTTTCTATAATGCGCTTATATATACGCCTAAATGCTCCCCCTTATGCATTATTATTCTCATGATATTTGATTTATTTTGCTTAAAGAGATTTGCTCGTTTTAAGACGCATCCTCCGATTACTCACTTCTGTTGCCGACGTTTCTTATGTATTTTTAGCCGGTCTCATTATACGATGACATTTTATAACAGCCAAACAGGTTACTGATCGAATTCTGCGTAATTTCGTCCATCCCCTTCACCCTGAATTAATGGCTTCGAAGTCTTCCCAGCCCATGCACTGAGTTTTCGGACAAATCTCTTACCGTGCATCGACATACAAACATGTTGTATTACCATTTCTGCAACTATAACTCACACTTTAAGAGACCGAAATACAGGAACTGAGACTCGATCTGCGTAATCAGCAGTAGTCTTTTTTGTCAGTTAATGCAATTCAGAATACTTCAGAATCACGCTATATTTTATTAACAAAGAGGTCTATTGGAGGTGCATCATCATCAGCAGCAGAACAGGACCTCAAAGTAAGTGAAACGAACGAAAAGGGTCCGGACGTGAACAAAGGGAGGACCGTATTCATAAAACGCTGAAAAGACGAGACTTTAGGCGAAGGAAACACCCGTAATGGAACCATTCCCAACGTTTCACGAGCCTATACTTGGAAAACCGAGGTTTAACAACGAAGCTCATCCGTGATGTACTGCTACAAAGTTTTTTTGCAGATTCTCGTTACGAGGTAGCGTTTAGTTCCCAGTCACCTAAGGCTAGGAACGCC